GAGAGTTGACCAAATAAGATGAAGTTTAAGCTGAAATAATACGTTTTTAAAAACGTAAATGTAATTTATCACCTTCGGTCAATTTCATCAACTTAGCCTTAAAGGATCGTGCATCGCGTGAAGCAATTAAATCCTTGGGCAAGAGCTGAAACCAACGTGTGATCCTACAAAACAGATTGTTATGCATTTTATCCTTATTGTATCTCATAATCTTGACATGATGAAGGTTGAAGCTTCCCAATCTCTGACTAGTTGGCATAAAAATCCAGTATTTACTTGCTTTTAGCTTGGTTTCTCCTCTAAGCACTTGAAAACAAAAAATAAGGTCAGAGATATTACGACGAAAGGAGAGACTTTGTAGATTTAGCTTTTTTAGTCGTACTTCATAAGCAGGAGGGGCATTACTAGGAGTGACTCTTTTGTACAAAAGACGTGTAAAAGTTTTCTGTACTTTTTCAAGTTTCTCGATGTCCTTCTTTCGATTGGGGTTCCACACCTGGGAACAATATTCTAGGTGGGGACGAACTAGAGATTTGTAGAGACGCGTCAAAAGAACAGGTGAATTAGTTTTTACACTCCGAAAAAGAACAAACAAGAAAGTATAAGCCCTCCTAATAACAGCATCAATCTGCTCAGAGAATTTGAGCTTCGAATCAATAATGACTCCCAAATCCCTAGCTGAGCAACACATCCTCAAAGCTGTATCATCTACCATATAAGTGCCTGCATACTGGTCACCCATATGTAAGACAAAACTTTTATTCAGATTAACTGCTAGACGCCAGTGATTGGCCCAAGTGACCAGTTTAGTGAGCGATTCTTGCAATGCTGATTGTACCTCCAATCGATTATCATAACTGTAAGCACCATATATCTTTATGTCATCTGCATATAATTGTATCCGTATGTTTGGGGACGTTCGGAGTATTGTTGGTATATCAAGCGTATATATGAGAAAAAGCAGAGGGGAGAGAACTGCTCCTTGGGGAACGCCGCTTACACAAGGATATGCATCCGAAAATTTATTGCGTACTTTGACAGTCATAAAACGGTTTTGTAGATAGGAGCTAAACCAGTTGAAAAGAGGACCATCAATACCGATTTCCTTCAGCTTTTCAAGAAGTTTAGAGTGACAGACCTTGTCAAACGCTTTGGATAAATCGATATACAGTACATCCACGGATTTCTTATGGTTTAGAGCTAAAATCCAGTCATAGATACTGTCAGCAAGATTTTTTATGGTAGAAGCACCATTGATGAAGCCATGCTGCTCAGCTGGGATTAGATGTAATTTATTCAGCCTTGCCAGCAACCTATCTCGTATGATTCTTTCCATAACCTTAGCTGGTGCTGGTAAAAGACTGATGGGTCGAAAATCACTGATTAACTTGGCTCCTTGTATCTTTGGGATGGCAGTGACAAGGGCATGCTTCCATAAATTTGGCACCTCACCCAACATCATAGAAATATTGAAAATGTGGGCTAAGGGGGCAGATAAAGCGGATGCGCACCTTTTGTAGACAATTTGAGGAATGCCATCATAAGTTTCTGTGGCAGATGGTTTTAATTTTTTGAGAAACTTGAAAACTTCGGACGGTTCAAAGTACACTCTTATAGAATGATTGTCTGGTGTTACAGAGTTACTGCGTGCAGAAGATTCATAATCATCATCGTTATTGTAAACACTGGCAAAATAAGCACCTAGGACTCTCGCTTTATCCGCATCATCATAATAACTAGACCCAGAATGATCTTCAAGAGTAGGGAGACTGGCACTAGCTTTCATTCTGGAATTTATATATCTATACAAATTTCGAGCGCATGCTTTAGAAGCAAGGCGACGCTCTCGATTAGCTAAAAACTTTTGCATATGGAAATCAATGTCATGGCACACTCTTTTATACATGGGACTATGTAGTGGATCATGCAATTTGTCGAAAAGCCGGCATTTTTGCATGTTGAGTGCGTCAATGTGAGGAGGGAGTTTTATAAGTGTGTCGCTGGGATATTTCATAGTAACAAACATGCTAAGGCCAGAATAAATTATCTTACAAAATCTAAGGTAAACTTCTGAGCACGACTCATATTGGTCAAATTCTGCAAGCCAGTCAACTCTAGAAAGAAAATCATTCAGTGCAGAGTAGTCAACACTATGAAAGTCAGGAAGGGGTATGGATGGCAAACCCATGGTCGCAGGGCCCTCACACTCAAACTGAACCATCCCATGATCAGAGGAGCCAAGCGGTGGGAGAATATCAAGATTAGAAATTCGTGCGTCAGAGGAGAGGACTAGATCAAGGATATGGTCACCATGCGTAGGATGCGAGACAAATTGTTTGAAATCATTATGTTGAAAATACTCAAAAAATGATAGGGATGCACTATTAGTGGCCTTCATAGTGACCCAGTCGATTTGCAGATTGAAGTCACCTAGAATAATCGTGTTATCATGATCAGAAGAATATGTATAAGAACTAATCACATTCATCAGTTGATCATCATTATCTTTGCTAGAGCTGGGTGGGCGGTATATCGCGATGAATCGTAGGCGTAAAGATTGTGGATGGATAATAGTGACAATCAACACATCTGCTAGCAAAGACATTTCAATATTTGTGCATCTAGATGCTATGTTACCTTTTACCAGGCAACAAACACCACCACCTTTTCGATTATTTCTGTCACTTCTGTATAGCACATAAGGCATACCACCCACAACCTCAGAATCAAGTATTTTTACATTAAGCCAAGTTTCAGTAATAAAAAGTAAGTCGGGTTTGTATTCATAGACAAAAGCGTGCAGATAGTTCAATTTAGTTCTTAGACTTCGTGCGTTAAAAAGGATTATTTGTAATGAATCAGTCTCACCATGCCCGTTCAGACGTTTCCCGAGCTTCTGCGAGGAAGCTTAGAGATGTGAACTAATTCATCGCGATATACTACCCACTCTTTGGTGGCCATGCCCTTGTTACGCTCGCGAGCTTGTTGCCGGAGTTCATAATTGCGGGTCCTTTCCTCTGCCGTCATACTCTTTCTAACATAAATGTTAGAGTAGCCATTATTTTTGAGTAACCGCGAATTTGATAAAGCAAGCCGCCAATAGTATCGAGAGGGAAATACAACTTTAATCAGCCTGGGGCGAGACGGATTAGGCTTTCCCAATCGGTACAATTCGACAGGCCTGCATTCAACTTTCAACACATCCAATATTTCCCCAACGGTGCTTTCCAGCTGGAGGCACCGCTGGTGGAAAGGAACTTGCTCGTTTGCTTCAGGGATGCCGCTTATTACAATGCTACGACTGCGTTTCTCGGCTTCCAGATCACAATGAGCTGCCATAGGTATTTTCTCACACAATGCACAGAGTAATCTGTCGATCACGGGGTGATCAGCATGCTCGATTACACCCCTCTGCCAAATTCCAGCCCCCTAGCTCAAATTTTGCAAAAAATTGATAAAATCGACATCGATCGATAACGAAAAGTGGACTGTGACACCAGCCGGGGCCCGAAGTGTATGTGTGCCAAGTTTGGTCCGGATCGGTTAAGAAATGGAATTTTCTATTTGGAACATACGGCGGAGCCGGGTAAGCGAGCTAGTTATGAATATTTTCTGAGGCATAGATTCAAACTTTGGCTACAATAAAACTATACGGAGCTGTAAGTAGTCTATAAGCTCAAATGGGGCCATGTTTGCAGCCAAGACGTTTTATGCAATTGAGATTTTCAACAACGAACTCACGTTGTTTCTTATTACTTCTTTTAAACGCCCGAAAGATCTCAACACCTGTTTTTACCTCAGCTAAACCATTGAATTTATACTTCAAAACATTCCCATAACTCTTCTGCTAGAAACGTTTTGCAAGTATCGAAAGCAGATTTGAAATCAACGGTTCATACTCTATAAAACAAAATAGAAACGGAAGACAAAAAACTGCCCAAACACTGCCTTCAACATGTAGAATTGAAAAAAAAATTAGAAGCAAACATTTAAGCAGATTCGCAGGAGTTCTTCCCTTTTTCTGAAGTATTGGAAAAATGGGCAAAAATAGCGGAAACAATGCCAAACACTTCTCTCCGAGGCGTGGCTATGCTACGCCTCAAAAGCTGTCCCCCCCCCCTCCGCTGGGTTTTTCGGGCTGCCGTTGATGTCTATGTATGTATACATAGACTATTAAACAACAACACCAGTTGTCTGAGCTATTTTGCACTTTTTTACTGAAACACATTATCTTGTGTTAGTAGAGGCAAAGCTGCGATCAGAAATGATGCAAGTTCAAGAACTGATGATGAAGAAATATTCTTTGAGTTGAAATTATGTAATTTACGGCGTTTGTTAGAAGAGTCCGGCGCAGCAAGGAGTCGCGAGATGTAAGGTTTTCACAATAAACTGTCGTTACGATAAATTCCATATGAAAAAGTGCCAACGGTATTTTTGACGCTATCATATCAGTCCTAGCTTGTGACAATCTGCTCGTACACAAGCTTCCATACTTCTTGAGAACTTTTGAACTTTAAGCTAAGCCATGACTATGTCGGTCGGCGGAAAACTATGTGGGAAAGACTATTAACGATCAGATAGTGCACTTATTTTTCCAAAACTCTTCGTATCAAAGTGATGCACCATTTGCGCAGTGAAGCCTGTCCTAAAGTTCATGTCAACCTCGCAACAAGTGCGTGGGTGGAAGTTTTATCAATTTTTTTTTAGGGTAAAAAATTGGCATTGCACCGCACGTTATGAGAAAAATTTACGACAGCATTTGCGTCAGACGTTCTGGTACTTTTGAGAAAGAGGTGGAAGATTAAAATGAGGCAGACAATTTTTCATTAAAAATCTGCAATTTGTTTAGCTGATTGTCTATTAGGGAACACTTTACATGTACTAAAGCTGGTGAAGCTAACCTAACACCTGTTTGACCTTACCTTCGTTTGTTGTATAAATGTGGACAAGAACCAGTGTAACGTGCTCACAATATGTGAGTTATGATGTGTTTCATCAGAATGCTGGAACTTTTGATACTCTTCGAAATGGTAAACAACGGTTTGTTTTCAATTCTGTTCAGGCCAAAAAAAAGCAGAACTTTCAGGTTTTCCTACTTAGAGCGAGTGTTGTTATTGGTGGATGATAGGCTGTACCACCAGCATCGGTCATGCGACGTTGCGCATGCGGCAATTTGCGACTATGCGATGTGACGCGTGCGGACTCTGTTACGCGTTAAAGCACGTGGCATGCGGCGGCGCAAGGCATACTAGCGGGAGACCGACGCTGACTGATACGGCCTATATTTTATAATAATGTAACTTTATTAGATCGAAGAATCGTTTTTATTCAGTCAAGTCAGTCAAGTCGAAACCATCTGCGTGTAAAGAAGTAAGGTGTTATTGGTGGATACAGGAGGAAACAGGGCCATTCGACATTTCGTTCAAAGTAAGTTAAGTGCATCTGTACCTGTCCCGTTCCAGGAATCTGATGCTTACAATAAATAGGCGGCCTCTTCTTACAAGAAAAAATACCAACCGTTGTAGGTCGAAGACGAGATGTATAACTAAAAGCGCCTGACGCTGTTTCTAAATCGGCTTTGTTTTTTGCGAAATAAATGACCAAAATCGTCAAGTTTTAAGTGGCCTGAAATTAGCGAAGTGCTGTAGAAAGTGCTTGTGTGCAATCAATTTTGTATTAACTATATTGGCCACAAGAAAGGAACATAACCATGGAAGTCTGCAAGATGTCGTTTCAGAGCTTTCTGTTGACATTCAAAGTAATAACCACAATATGTAATCAAGTGCAGCTGTGAAAATTCAACATTGAAAAATCTTTGGTAGTATGATTAGACCAACCGTCAAATGAACAGCAGCGCTAGTCTAAAAATGTCAAACAAGATAAGCATTTGTATCTCAGGGGGTCCTACTTATTAAAAGGCTTTTGGTCGTCTTTTGTTCTCGACTGCCTACATATACCTCACAAGTCGCACAGCTGCCAACAAAGAATCACAAAATCTAACGGTTGACGGTTGGTCTAATTATACTACCAAAGATTTTTCAAGAATCACACTGCAGATGTAAGTTACTTTTTAAGCTAATTTTTTCAGACTAAGGATTTGGATGGGAAAGCCTTAGAGGAACTAACAGTGAGTGGAAATATTGATAGCAATCACAAAATCTAACTAACTTATATCGTACTTAGGAGGATGATTGGATACAATATGTATATGAGTATCTCGAAAATGAAAATAAATACAACACTAAGGACAATGGAAAGGTGAGTGTTTTCCGACTCTATGCTAGCGCTCTGTGTCCAATAACAAATGTTCAATATTTTTGGGAGATATATCAAAGCAGCTAAGTAGACAGAAGTACTAAAACGAGTGGTCCTGGTGCAAATTGCGCTCAAGATGCCGGCATTTTTCCGTGCTTATTTTTCCACGCGCAAATTTTGATCCTGGCATTTCAAGCACACTATATTGCATTATAGTTTCCAACTATAATAATGCGGCAAGGGCCATCTATCTGTTTGTTTTCCTTCTGAGAATCTGCCCTCCAGAAAATTCATTAAGCAAAGCGTCCAAATAGTGAAAATTATGCGGAATCTTAGCTGTAATTAAGGTGCTGAAGAAAAAGAATCGCTTGAAGAAGCTGTGTCCCAAATGTTTGAAATCGAAGGAAAAGGTATGGTCATTATTTTCTCTTCCTCTGAGTCCGAGAATCTTGCTCAGAGAACTGCATAAAGGTTACATGCTGTCAGGGGTAAAAAATTTACTATGCAGTGCATTGCTAAAGCTAAACAATCACAGTTTATACAAGCATGTCTACGAATGGGCCATAAAGTCGGTGCTCCATTTCACCTCACTTATCCACCATCTTTGCAATCCTCAGTATTGGGAGAGGACACTCAGAGAGACTTTTTTTACAGGATCTAGAGATACAAGACGAAGCTTCATATTACTTCTACAAGCATGTTATCCAATACTAACCCAGTTGGCTACGATATAAAATACTATTCTCTTGGATAAGAAAATTGTATTTCGTGGTGTACACAATTACCTTCCAATCTGATGAATACTGATGAACTCGACAATCTTTGAAATTTAACAACTTATAAAGGGGTTTGGGGCAATAAGTCTGGACGCCGCCTCAGCCATGCATCCAGATTTACCGGGAAATTACATCAAGATCGAGAAACTGTGTGCCACATGTTCTCGACGAAGTCATTACAAGTACATAGTACACGCCCTTTGCATTAGGCTGCTCAGACGTGCAGTTTTTTTTGCCCATACGTCCACATGCACCCCCTACCTCTCAATCATCTTCACTGTGCGAAAAGTTTTCACGCGACAAAACTGTTTGAAAACAATCTTGCATCGAAGTGCGCTTTTCGAAAACCGAGTTTCTTTGCATCAAGTAATCAAACACCTTGTTTACAACACAATGATATCACACCAAATTCGTTATGTAAACGAGTGACAGTTGGAATGAATCAACTTGAAAAAGCTGTGAAGAGATTATGTGATTGAGGGTGTGGCAACTTTCTGCCAGAAAGTTTCTATTACCGTCGATTCGTTAACCGCGCGGACCGCTCAAACGGCTGCGGACCATGCGCGGCGCGGCTGAAATGTTGTGAGAGCATGGCTTGTACTATGGCAAATTTGTATTGGGGCAAGTGTTTTACCTCGCGCGTGCTCCGCAGTAATGTCCAGTCCATGCGGTCAACGAATCTGCTGCACAGTAAATGGAAAAAATGATTTATTTGCAATGTACACGTAAAAATATGGCACCATAGTGCTACATAGAAGCATTAAGAATAAAGTTTGAGGGAATCTATACGACACATACCTGTTGTTCAAAGTGATTTGTTTACGCTACGCTGATGGTGCAAAATAAATAGTTCAATTATTTTATCACAATTTTTACTGAAATCTGTTTTACATATGTCTACTATATAGCAATAATTCGGCTGCAAAAGTCTTCCTCTCCACTTAGTCAGATTCAGACATAGCAAAAATGGTCGGCCCTTAAGAAAGCTAGCACAGGTGGGCAGAATCAAAAAAAAAAATAGAGCGTCTTCACCAGTTTTAAATCGACGGAGTACATGGAGTACGATATTGAAGATCTGCAGCGTATGCATGCATTAGTAAAGTAAGGCAAAGTATTAGGTTGTAAAGAAAAATGGGCACTTTTGAAAATTTCATTTTCAAACGCGTTTTTTGGCGCTCGGTCGGACTTTGACACCAAGTGTTGTACAGTGTTCAGTAGAGCGAAGCGTAAACTTTTCAATACCGCTTCTGATTGCTATTGATGTCAAGATGTGTTTGACCTGCACATCAAAAAAGGAAATCTTTCCAACCATGAGAATTTATTTTCTTCCTGCGCCCTTTTTTCTGTGAAGTTCAAAGAATTTCGTCCAAATCATGGGTGATCTTGAGAAACCCGATGACTTCTGAACCCCCGGTGTACTCGAATTTTGCGATTTGCGCTCAGAAATTACGAGCTGTCGAACTTGCCTCTGAATACAACTCTTTTCGTAGCTGGCGTCGCTTAGGCGGCGATCGCCAAGCCTGGATGATGGGTTCAGAAGATGTGCAAGGCATTGCCCCAGCAATATTCCCAGTAATCAAAGATTTGGTCCTTTCTGTGCAGAACTAGAAAACTTCAAAGTTACTTACTCGAAAAATGGTGCATTTTTAGGGGCGTTTCAAACTTTCTGGGGAAAATTTTTTGCAGGTGGTCCCTCAAAAACATGAATGGTCCTCATAACAGCCTTAGCAAACTTCTATATAACTACAGCATCTGGGGTCTTCAGCTTTTATCCCGCCTGAGATAATCCTGCACAAATAGGCCACTTTTCGCGTCGATCTTTCTCCCTTCTGCGCATGCTAATGGACCGCTATGAGGTGCTGAAGAGCCAGCACGACAGATATTTGTTGTAGACGAAATTTTCTTTGCAATGAAATTTGTAGCTCTGAAAAGGATCAATCTGCTCGAAGTTACAGCGATTTGAATAAAAAATTCGCAAGTGCCCCGAACTTTCTTTACAACCTAATAAAAACATGATTGAAGGGTGTGTCAATCTTATAAAGGGCAGCGTTCACGCAAATCTGGGCCTATGGGGATCTACTTGGAATGTAATCTTGGAGCCCTAACTAAACACTGCCCAAGCGGCAATGTTTCCTGTTCTTCATCGGAACTAAGATATATTTGCTTCGGCCATATAAAGACGACGAAGACGACTACTATGATGAGAATGGGAATCGGGAAGATTTAGACCTCAAATTGGAGTTAATTGCCTTTGGAACGGTTTTGCACCAATGCGAGTTAGATGAGTACTTGATGTCATACTTATTTACATTTAGGATATTGGTAAGACAAATGGCTCTGGTAGTGCAAAGATAGGCCAGGTTAGAAAAAAAGGTTTAAGCTTGATAATTACATGTATAACTGTACAAACATCCTTTTTGGATAGGGAGAAAGTGGAGGTGCAACAAAGAGTGATAATATTAGAACGTCAGGTGCTTTTTTAGAAATGAAAATGCATTTCGTTAAATAGTGGAAGTCAGCTCACGAATGGTGCTTATACTCAATCGTATCAACCTTATATCTGAATATAGCGCTGTCGAAAAAGATGAAAATCTAGAGAATCAAACGCGTATATCATTTGAATTTTCGTGTCTAAAACGTACCTTACTCAACGATTCGCTCACTGGCTTTCCTGGATCTTTTTCTCGAAATATTGGCGCGGATTGTAAAGCAAAAAAAGGATTGAGAAACTCATGTTCTGCTGTAATCTGCAACTCAGTGACGCCGATGCAAAAAGCAAGTCTAGATTTATATTCAACAGTCTTATAAGTCATTATTTACTATCTCGGATAAAGATATTGCTATAATATTAAGAGCGTGTATGCACGTCCTCTATTGCGTAAGCTGTCAAGTTTATCGGAGGTCCAGAAGAAAGAGCCAAAAGAAAATTATGGAACCATGTGGAATACAAGCTGAAGAAAAAGTTGAAGGTATAGTTGTAATCGTGTAGGTCTTTTACATTATCTACAGCTCTGCTCATGCTATAAGCTAAATAAATGGTGAACAATGAAATGTTGGAAAAATGCATGCGTCAGAAGTGAGTTTCTATAACAAGCTGTGTACGAGAAGTAGTGGCTGGAGTACATCCGCACCCGCAATATTTTCGCATCACGCACCATTAAGTGAATAGTCATGATTTCTATATGTTTCTAAACTGTTTTACAGAGAGCTTTTGAAGAGATATGTTTTCTTTGACGCATTTTCGCAAAATAAAAGTATTGACTCGATTTACTGTTCTGCAATGCAGCTCCTTCCAAGAACATGAAAAACGTGACTCTGACTTCCATAACAATTTTGGTATATTCTCCATAGTGGGAAGCGAAACCGTCCTCATGTTTTTCCTTTTACATATTTTGCAATATCACTCGAACTCTGAACTCTGCTGCTAAGCTCCACCACTTTCTTAAGGCTTTTGTGCAAGGGAAAAAAACTAAACTAGAAAAGGACAGACACTAATCAAAAACTAAAAACAAAAATGCTAGATAATACCTATAGGCACGCAAAGTTATAAAGCGAATGTTTTACTTTTGCTGAAATGTTGGCTTGTTTACAAAACAAATGCAATGATCTAGCTTATCTGCGCACAGAGAAAAGCAAGACATCTTGCAATCATTAATGCACAAGGGCAACTTTCTCTGAAATCTTCGTGTTAAGTGGAATTGCTCGTATGCACTGTACCTGTCACGATATGACAACGAATATGTAGAAAAATGATGTGCAGAAAAACTAGAGAAGAACATCCTTAAACTCTCCCAAATTGATGCCGGCAAATATGGCAAAACTTCTCCCATATTTGTGTTCACACAAATCTGGCTACGATACAGTAAGCAATTCGTTCGAAACCCCCCCCCCCCCCCGCAAACTTGGTTTTCAAGAAAGTAAAATACGTTTTGAAATGCCTGTAAATTGATTTTTATCTAAACCACCTGCTCTTACGCGTCACTATCACACCAATAGTGGTTGGTGATGGTCTTAATGTACGAGTATCAAATTACGCACAAAACATAGTAATTGATCACTACGTCGATCGATAAAACTTATTAGAGTACAGCTACCCCCTGCTTTTTTCAATGAAACGCAAGATTTGCAGACTTTTTGAGGGAACTTTGAAATGCACCAAAAGAAGCACCAAGATTGCAGACTTTTTGAGGGAGTTTTGAAATGCGCCATGAAATCTTGTCCCAAATA